CCAATGAATTGAGGCTGTTCCAAGGGTAAAAGGGTCAATATTAGGAAGGTGTTCTTAATGTTTTGTCCACTCAGTGTACACACTTCAGTTGGTATGAGTCCATTACCCTTAATGGGAAACCATTTGATTTGTTTCCGCTGTCTGAGTACCTCCCTTGACTCTCTAATACCTTCTGTATCAGTGAGGACCCTCCATCCATCATGTAGGTCTGGGGTCATCAATGAGGACCCTCCATCCATCGGCAGGTAGCTTAGTGGTTAAGAGCGTTGTGCCAGTAACCGAAAGGTCGCTGGTTCTAATCCCCGAGCTGACTAGGTGAAAAATCTGTCGATGTGCCCTTGAGCAAGGCACTTAACCCTAATTGCTCCTGTAAGTCGCTCTGGATAAGAGCGTCTGCTAAATGACTAAAAATGTAAAAAATGTAAAAAAAATTTTAGGTCTGGTGTCATCAACGAGGACCCTCCATCCATCATGTAGTTCTGGGGCCATCAACGAGGACCCTCCATCCATCATGTAGGTCTGGTGTCATCAACGGGGACCCTCCATCCATCATGTAGGTCCGGGGTCATCAACGAGGACCATCCATCCATCATGTAGGTCTGGGGTCATCAACGAGGACCCTCCATCCATCATGTAGGTCTGGGATCATCAACGAGGACCCTCCATCCATCATGTAGGCCTGGGGTCATCAACGAGGACCCTCCATCCATCATGTAGGTCTGGTGTCATCAACGGGGACCCTCCATCCATCATGTAGGTCCGGGGTCATCAACGAGGACCATCCATCCATCATGTAGGTCTGGGGTCATCAACGAGGACCCTCCATCCATCATGTAGGTCTGGGATCATCAACGAGGACCCTCCATCCATCATGTAGGCCTGGGGTCGTCAACGAGGACCCTCCATCCATCATGTAGGTCTGGGGTCGTCAACGAGGACCCTCCATCCATCATGTAGGTCCGGGGTCATCAACGAGGACCCTCCATCCATCATGTAGGTCCGGGGTCATCAACGAGGACCCTCCATCCATCATGTAGGTCTGGGGTCGTCAACCTCTCACCCCAGCCTTCCCCCCCCAGCCTCCATTGGTCCTGTCTGGGGTCATCAGCCTCTCTCACCCCCAGCCTCCATTGGTGCTCTTTGCCTCAAATAAAATTAAAATAAAATAAAAATTGTCACACGTGTTTAGCAGATGTTATTGCGGATGTAGCGAAATGCTTGTGCTTCTAGCTCCGACAGTGCAGTAACATCTAACAAGTAATATCTAACAATTCCACAACATATACCCAATACACACAAATCTAAGAAAGGAATGGAATTTAAGAATATATACATATATGGACAAGCAATGACAGAGCGACATGGACTAAGATACAGTAGAATATTATAGAATACAGTATATATATATATATATATATATATATATATATATATATATATATATATATATGACATGAGTAGTGCAAGATATGTAAACATTATTAAAGTGACTAGAGTTCCATTTCTTAAAGTGGACAGTGATTTCAATAGGCAGCAGCAGTCTCTAATGTGCTAGTGATGGCTATTTAACAGTCTGATGGCCTTGAGATAGAAGCTGTTTTTCATTCTCTCGGTCCCAGCTTTGATGCACCTGTACTGACCTCGCCTTCTGGATGATAGCGGGGTGAACAGGCAGTGGCTCGGGTGGTTGATGCCCTTGATGATCTTTTTGGCCTTCCTGTGACATCGAGTGCTGTAGGTGTCCTGGAGGGCGGGTAGTTTGCCCCCGGTAATGCGTTCGGCAGACTGCACCACCCTCTGGAGATCCCTGGTGTTGCGGGCGGTGCAGTTGCCGTACCAGGCGGTGATACAGCCCGACAGGATGCTCTCAATTGTGCATCTGTAAAAGTGTGTGAGGGTTTTAGGTGCCAAGCCAAATTTCTTCAGCCTCCTGAGGTTGAAGAGGCTCTGTTGCGCCTTCTTCACCACACTGTCTGCGTGGGTGGACCATTTCAGTTTGTCAGTGATGTGTACGGCAAGGAACTTGAAGCTTTCCACCTTCTCCACTGCGGTCCCGTCGATGTGGATAGGGGGGTGCACCCTCTGCTGTTTCCTGAAGTCCACGATCATCTCCTTTGTTTTGTTGATGTTGAGTGAGAGGTTATTTTCCTGGCACCACACTCCCAGAGCCCTCACCTCCTCCCTGTAGGCTGTCTCGTCATTGTTGGTAATCAAGCCTACTACTGTTGTGCCGTCTGCAAACTTGATGATTGAGTTGGTTGGCCACGCGGTCATGGTTGAACAGGGAGTACAGGAGGGGGCTGAGAACGAACTCTTGTGGGGCCCCAGTGTTGAGGATCAGCGAAGTGGAGATGTTGTTTCCTACTTTCACCACCTGGGGGGCGGCCCGTCAGGAAGTCCAGGACCCAGTTGCACAGGGCAGGGTTCAGACCCAGGGCCTCGAGCTTAATGATGAGCTTGGAGGGTACTATGGTGTTGAATGCTGAGCTATAGTCAATGAACAGCATTCTTACATAGGTATTCCTCTTGTCCAGATGGGATAGGGCAGTGTGCAGTGTGATGGCGATTGCATCGTCTGTGGATCTATTGGGGCGGTAAGCAAATTGAAGTGGGTCTACGGTGACAGGTAAGGTAGAGGTGATATGATCCTTGACTAGTCTCTCAAAGCACTTCATGATGACAGAGGTGAGTGCTACGGGTCGATAGTCATTTAGTTCAGTAACCTTTGCTTTCTTGGGTACAGGAACAATGGTGGCCATCTTGATGCATGTGGGGACAGCAGACTGGGATAGGGAGAGATTGAATATGTCTGTAAACACACCAGCCAGCTGGTCTGCGCATGCTCTGAGGACGCGGCTAGGGATGCCGTCTTTGCCGGCAGCCTTGCGGGGGTTCACATGCTTAAATGTCTTACTCACGTCGGCTACAGAGAAGGAGAGCCCACAGTCCTTGGTAGTGGGCCGCGTCGGTGGCACTGTTTTATCCTCAAAGCGGGCGAAGAAGGTGTTTAGCTTGTCTGGAAGCCAGACGTCGGTGTCGGCGACATGGCTGGTTTTCCTTTTGTAGTCTGTGATTGTCTGTAGACCCTGCCACACACGTCTCGTGTCTGAGCCGTTAAATTGCTACTGCACTTTGTCTCTATACTGATGTTTTGCCAGTTTAATTGTCTTGCGTAGTGAGTAGCTACACTGTTTGTATTCTGCCATATTCCCAGTCACCTTGCCATGGTTAAATGCGGTGTTTCGCGCTTTCAATTTTGCGTGAATGCTGCCATCTATCCACGGTTTCTGGTTAGGGTAGGTTTTAATAGTCACAGTGGGCACAACATTTCCTATACACTTCCTGATAAACTCAGTCACCGTTTCAGTGTATTCGTCTAAATTATTTTCGCAAGCTACCCGGAACATATCCCAGTCCGCGTGATGAAAACAATCTTGAAGCGTGGATTCCGATTGGTCCGACCAGCGTTGAATAGTCCTTAGCAAGGGTACTTCCTGTTTGAGTTTCTGCCTATAGGAAGGGAGGAGCAAAACGGAGTCGTGGTCAGATTTTCCGAAAGGAGGGCGGGGGAGGGCCTTATAACCATCCCAGAAGTTTGAAAAGCAATGGTCAAGGATTTTAGCAGCCTGAGTACAACAGTCGATATGTTGATAGAACTTCGGCAGCCTAGTCCTCAAATTTGCTTTGTTAAAATCCCTGGCTACAATAAATGCAGCCTCAGGATATGTGGTTTCCAGTTTGCATAAAGCAGTGAAGTTCTTTGAGGGCCGTCGTGGTATCGGCTTGAGGGGGTAAATACACGGCCGTGACTATAACCAAAGAAAAGTATCTTGGGAGATAATACGGTCGGCATTTGATTGTGACGTATTCTAGGTCAGGTGAACAAAAGGACTTGAGTTCCTGTATGTTACTACAATTACACCATGAGTCGTTAATCATGAAACACACACCTCCGCCCTTCTGCTTCCAGGAAATATATTTATTTCTGTCTGCGCGATGAACTGAGAACCCATCTGGCTGGACCGATTTTGACAGAATATCCCCAGAGAGCCATGTTTCCGTTAAACAAAGTATGTTACAGGCCCTGATGTCTCTCTGGAAAGAAATCCTTGCCCTGAGCTCGTCGACTTTGTTATCCAAAGACTGAACATTAGTGAGTAGTATACTTGGAAGCGGTGGGTGGTGTGTGCGCCTCCTAAGTCGAACCAGCAGGCCGCTCCGAGTGCCTCTCCTCCGTCGGCGATGTTTTGGGTCAGCCGCTGGAATCAGTTCAGTTGCCCTGGGGAGAGCAAACAAAGGATCTGCTTCGGGAAAGTCGTATTCCTGGTCGTAATGCTGGTGAGTTACCACCGCTCTGATATCCAATAGTTTTTCCCGGCTGTATGTAATGACACAAAACACTTTCTGAGCTAATAATGTAAAAAATAATACATTAAAAAAACAAAATACCGCAAAGTTTCCTAAGAGCTAGTCGCGAGGCCGCCATCTTCGTCAGCAGCCTGTCTCTGGCTCTCTGCCTTACAGAGTCAACCAGCCCTGACCCGCTGCACCGCATTGATGCTCCTAGTACACCGTAAATAGAATTGTACAACCCTGTACTACACTGTCATTCGATAATAATAGTAATAGCTTAATACGGCCACAGGGTGGTGCTATAATGTCAGAATACATCACCATCGTCAACATCATTATGAGGGCCTAAAAATTGTTTTGATGAAAATTGTATGAACGATGTAATAATGACAATTGTCATTTACATTACATATAAACATGTGGGCTTTGCATGAGCTATTCCTACACTTTTTTCATCGACTTTTAAATGAATTTAGTCTAATAAATATGATGTAGCGGTAGTATGAACACGCCCACTAAAATACAGAACAAAGCATTGCAGTAGGTAGTCCTTTATGAGATTTAATAAGTGTTTAGGAAAGCCCATGTGTGTTTATTTAGAAAAACAAGAAAGCCCGGAAACTGATAGCAACAACTTCCGGTCCTCACTGCCTGAATGGTCTATAGCGAGAACGGAAACTCTAGACCGGGAAGTGGGGCATCTAAATCAAATCTAGCTAGCTTACTTTTCAAGTGTACCTAAGCGTCCTGCTGACTATTGGATGAGGCCGAGATGCAAAGTCAGGATCCATGCGAAAATGGTAAGTTAACGGTATAAATTGTTAACAAATTTGATAACGTAGCTAACGTTAGCTAGGCTTGGTGTACGTTCGATGTTCAACATGGCGTATGCCGTCTCTTGCCCTATGATCCCGCCCTGCCTGAAACGTAGTATAGGCTGCCTAGGCTAGCTGAAATGGTGGCACTGGCAAGTCCACGTATCTGCAATATCTAGACTGTTTCGAAATCATGAATTACTTTATTTCACTCTATATCGTTGTTTAAAGGGTCAAATCAGCAGTTGCTACATCCATTGTTGTACTTATTAATGACATGAACCCATTGATTCTTGAAGAATATAACTTAAATGCCTCATTAGCAAAGTTCTACTGTCGTCGTACCCAATGATGTATATAAATCATTGGTCATACCCCATCAACCCAAAATATAAGCTTGTTTTATTCCAATGTTTGTCAACAATGTAATTGTAAACAAACACTATATAGACTCAAAACATGACTAAAACTATAATGTTGATATCATGGATGGCCAGTCCTTGTATCCATAACTATTTCTATATGAGAGCGGTTACATTTCTCTAGCCCCATCCCTTAGTTTTATACCTTAATATGGGTGGGGAATCGGGACCCAGCTTTGTTATTGTTTCTACTGCTGATTGTCGCTTTAAATATCCCGTTAACATATATATTTTTACTGACGTTAGTCTAAAGTGTGGTAACTCTTTAGCTAGAGCTAGCTAGCTAGGTCATATGAATGCGCGCGCCTAGTCAGAGTGGCGGTGTGTCGGCTAACAACTTATTTTCCTATTTTTAGGTCCCCCTCTTCTTCTTCCCTCTCTGCGTCTCTTCATTCCACCACTGCGGCTTGTCTCTGCGGCCATGTGGCAAGTGGTTCAGCGAGGAGATGTTCAAGATTATGGGATGCTGGAGGAATTTGTCACCACGGTGACCGAGATTGTGCCAGAGCTTTTGAGTTGCAGTCAGAGGGCCCAACTCATCCTGGGGCTTCGAGCAAGGGTAAGAGATTGGGCTCAGAATGGGGAAAATAAACATGCAACAAGATGATGATGTGACGGTGGTCCTAGCCTTTAGCCCAAACATAGACCTAGAACTCCTACATTTTTACATTTTAGTCATTTAGCAGACACTCTTATCCAGAGCGACTTACAGTTAGTGCATACATTTTTCATTTTAAAAAAATCATACTGGCCCCCCGTGGGAATCGAACCCACAACCCTGGCGTTGCAAGCGCCATGCTCTACCAACTGAGCTACAGGAGGCCTATAACTCCTACATAGATCTAGAACTCCTACATACAGTGGGGGAAAAAAAGTATTTAGTCAGCCACCAATTGTGCAAGTTCTCCCACTTAAAAAGATGAGAGAGGCCTGTAATTTTCATCATAGGTACACGTCAACTATGACAGACAAACTGAGAAAGAAAAATCCAGAAAATCACATTGTAGGTTTTTTAATGAATTTATTTGCAAATTATGGTGGAAAATAAGTATTTGGTCACCTACAAACAAGCAAGATTTCTGGCTCTCACAGACCTGTAACTTCTTCTTTAAGAGGCTCCTCTGTCCTCCACTCATTACCTGTATTAATGGCACCTGTTTGAACTTGTTATCAGTATAAAAGACACCTGTCCACAACCTCAAACAGTTACACTCCAAACTCCACTATGGCCAAGACCAAAGAGCTGTCAAAGGACACCAGAAACAAAATTGTAGACCTGCACCAGGCTGGGAAGACTGAATCTGCAATAGGTAAGCAGCTTGGTTTGAAGAAATCAACTGTGGGAGCAATTATTAGGAAATGGAAGACATACAAGACCACTGATAATCTCCCTCGATCTGGGGCTCCACGCAAGATCTCACCCTGTGGGGTCAAAATGATCACAAGAACGGTGAGCAAAAATCCCAGATCCACACGGGGGGACATAGTGAATGACCTGCAGAGAGCTGGGACCAAAGTAACAAAGCCTACCATCAGTAACACACTACGCCGCCAGGGACTCAAATCCTGCAGTGCCAGACGTGTCCCCCTGCTTAAGCCAGTACATGTCCAGGCCCGTCTGAAGTTTTCTAGAGTGCATTTGGATGATCCAGAAGAGGATTGGGAGAATGTCATATGGTCAGATGAAACCAAAATAGAACTTTTTCGTAAAAACTCAACTCGTCGTGTTTGGAGGACAAAGAATGCTGAGTTGCATCCAAAGAACACCATACCTACTGTGAAGCATGGGGGTGGAAACATCATGCTTTGGGGCTGTTTTTCTGCAAAGGGACCAGGATGACTGATCCGTGTAAAGGAAAGAATGAATGGGGCCATGTATCGTGAGATTTTGAGTGAAAACCTCCTTCCATCAGCAAGGGCATTGAAGATGAAATGTGGCTGGGTCTTTGATCCCAAACACACCGCCCGGGCAACGAAGGAGTGGCTTCGTAAGAAGCATTTCACGGTCCTGGAGTGGCCTAGCCAGTCTCCAGATCTCAACCCCATAGAAAATCTTTGGAGGGAGTTGAAAGTCTGTGTTGCCCAGCGACAGCCCCAAAACATCAATGCTCTAGAGGAGATCTGCATGGAGGAATGGGCCAAAATACCAGCAACAGTGTGTGAAAACCTTGTGAAGACTTACAGAAAACGTTTGACCTGTGTCATTGCCAACAAAGGGTATATAACAAAGTATTGAGAAACTTTTGTTATTGACCAAATACTTATTTTCCACCATAATTTGCAAATAAATTCATTAAAAGTCCTACAATGTGATTTTCTGGATTTTTTTTCTCATTTTGTCTGTCATAGTTGACGTGTACCTATGATGAAAATTACAGGCCTCTCTCATCTTTTTAAGTGGGAGAACTTGCACAATTGGTGGCTGACTAAATACTTTTTTCCCCCACTGTAGATCTAGAACTCCTATCTATATGAGGTCTAAGCAGAACTTTTCCCATGTACAGTATGAAGGTATATGCCTATCTATCATCAGAAGGCAGTTATTTTGCATCCTTTAGATCACTGAGCAGTCTACAAGAATGTATTACATCCACTTTTAGAAGCAGATATTTATAGTTATCATAGTAAACACCACAACGCACCCTGGAGCTATCCTACCTTTAGACAAAACAATGTAGACAGTTGACTCTGGCCTTAGACAACTGACTGGTTTTGGTAATTGACAGAGATGAAGACCCTGACGCTGATTTTTTTCAATTGAATACTGACATTGGGCCTTATCTAGGCTATCTGTCGTTTTCTCAAAATGTGTTACAATGAGAACAGAGCAGTGCCTAGGAAGTGTGGGGTTGACCTTTGACCAACTATTGACTGGCCATTTGTCATTTCAGCTGGTTCTGGAGTTGTGTGGCACTGAGCAGACATTAGACCTCCAGAATATTCAGCAACACCTGGACAGGATCCGATCCCTCACATCCACTGGGGAAGCAGAGGTGAGTATCTTTCAAAGAGGGATTGGAGCTGAAGAACACATGCCTATGTAATTCGGCGTGCTCACTGATGTTCAGTGATGGGTAAATCCATTTCAATTCAATCACTTTTTGACAGCATCCCTTTTGATTTGAATGAAACCTCCATACACATTTGCCCATTGTAGCAGTGCTCAGAAAGTGACTTTTTGGACTTGAACGGCAAAATATTCAAGAGATAAAGGTGCTTAAAGTTGACCTATTTCGCATACTTGACCATACCATCATGACATGTCTTCATCACTAAAAAAGATAACCAGTTGAAATTGACATCATTGAAAAGCTTGCAAACAGGGTTTCCAAACTATTTTATAATTTCTAAAAAAGGGTATTAATAAACATTTGTCATTTTTTAACCTTAAATGTAAATTATCTAAAAACGCTTAAACTAATTAAAAAAACATATTTGCATATGTTGTAGCTCAGACCCTATTTTACATCACCTGAAGTTGTGTTGTACCTGCAATCGGTTGAATACAGGGCGGGTGTCATGTTTTGCCTGATAAATGTACTAAAATCAAATTGAAATTTCTACTTTCAAATGGTACCACACATCAGAGAATGTTGACTAGAATGGAATATCTGTTGGTTTCAATTATACTCTCATTCCTCCATAGGAAACCTATTGAAATCATAGAAATATAGATACTAGTATAGACATGACCATTTAAGTTGACATTCGACGATGGGTGGACCGGGAGTCATCTTTGTGGTAATAATTAAAAGTAAAAATGTCCATTCAATTAAAATGTCAATGGAGTACTAGCTAAATTGCATTGGTCTGATGGGATAGGTACATTCTATACATTTTATTTCTATGATTGAAATGACACCCACACTGTATTCAAGAGCATGTTGTGTCTCAACCGATGGTGGGCTCAACACAAAAACCTCAGATGATGTAAAGGTTTAAGCTACACCATATGGGAATATGAAGAGAGAAAAAAGTACTTGTTTTTAGATAACTGACATTAAAGGTTAATAAATGTCATAATTTGTATAAAAAACATTTTTTTTATTTTTTATTATAAAATAGTTTGACAACCCTGTTTGTAAGCTTTTAAATGATATCAAACTCAACCGTTTATCTTTTCCAGTGATTAAGACATTGATGTCTCATGGTATGGTGGGGAATTCAAAATGGGTCAACTTTAAGTACTTTTACCTCGTGAATGTTTTGGCATTCAGGTACAAAAAGTAACTTTCTGACCACTTCTTCCATGAGCAAACATATATGGAATGTTTTGTTTAAATCAAAAGGGATGCTGTCAAAAAGTAATTGAATTCAAATGGATTTAATCCGATGTGCCCCCGGCTGGCTGGAGATTTAGCTTTAGGACAAATGAAACATTTTCTAAAATGTGCAAACTCCGCCCACCTGTGGAACCAGATGATGCAAAACCAATAGGCCCAACCAGACTATTGTGTGATTGAGTTGTAAGCTTCAGTGATGTAATAGTTGTGCATGTTTTGTTACAGTCAGGTGATGCAGAGGTGGAATTATCTGAATCAAACTTTGTGGAGCTGGTTGAATCTCTGCTGAAAGACCCAAGTGAAAGGGAGAACTTCTACCAGGTTTGTCTCTCCATTTAGTCTTCGCTGCAGTTAGAACTTAGCCTGGTACCAGATCTGTTTGTGATTTTGCTTATTCCATTGTCAATGTTTGGCCATAAGAAGTTGGCAAGAAAGCAGAAAAATACTGTTTTTTTTAAATATTCTAAATGTTACATCCATGTACAGTACCATTCAAAAGTTTGGACACACCTACTCATTCAAGGGTTTTTCTTTATTTTGACTATTTTCTACATCTTAGAATAATAGTGAAGACATCAAAACTATGAAATAACACATATGGAATCATGTAGTAACCAAAATAGTGTTAATCAAATCAGAATATATTTTGGATTTGAGATTCTTCAAAGTAGCCACCCTTTGCCTTGATGACAGCTTTGCACACTCTTGGCATTCTCTCAACCAGCCTTATGAGGTTGACATATTCACTACAATGTAGAAAATAGTAAAAAATAAAGAAAAACCCTGGAATGAGTAGGTATGTCCAAACTTTTGACTGGTACTGTACAAGACTTCATCTCCAATACATTAAAGTACTATATTTCTACAGGTTTGAGTCCTTCTCATTCACACATACTGTATTCCCACCTCCAGGTGTTTGTGGTTTAGTTATGGTTTCTTTATAGATCAAACAAAATACTAAAACATTCTGCTTTAGGGTGTTGAAGTGGCTGTATGATGGTCTAAGACCAAAGGGAATAGCAGTACACATTTTAGGCTAATTATCGACATTATTACATTTATTTATTCTCATCTAGGATGTGTTCCCTGTGGAATTTGGGCCCAAGTATGACACTGCAATACAGATGCTGATGTTGGAATTCCTTTCCAGACTTGAGAAGTTACTTCCCATACCAGACCTTGAACAGGTAATAAGAAGGAATAACACCTTTATCTAATTAGCTTGGGGAATTAGAAGTCAAGAATACCAAGCAAGAATCAATATGTTCATGTTTAAGGAACTGTGAGTTGGACATTTAGTTTGTTGTTAATGCTTTTAAACCATGTTTCTCTCTCTCAAGACCGCCTCCTTGCTAAATGCTGTCCCCTCTGCTCTGGAGAAATGTGTACAGTTTGTACCTGACTTCAGACAATTGAGGACCCTGCTCCAGTACCACAGAAAACGTGGACATTTGGACTCCATCGGTGAGTATCATACAGAGTCAGAGGATCCATGGTTTGGATTGGTTGTGAAAAAATTGCAAATGATGAGTGTCAGGTAGAGTAATTATGTATAGGATATAGATTATTGGTTATGTTTGTCTGGTAAAAGTTTATATTTGAGGCATTGACATAATTATCATATGTGCTGTTCAATTTAACCGTAATATTTTTAATTGTCTCCCTCTTTTGCATGAAAAGGAACTCCATCGTCCTTTGGTGACTGCATCCTCTCCTCTTTGTCTCTTCCTCCATACGTGCGAGTGGTGACTGCCCCAGATGTAGACTCTGATACACAGTCAGAAAGCATGCATTTGGAGGGAATGGAAGCAAGAGAGTTGTTGGAGAATCGGACAAAGGAAATTGATGGACTAGTTCCAGCAGATGAGGTTAGAAGAGACGTAATTACTGAGCAGGATTACGGTATTGACATGGAGACAGCCGTTGGGGAAATTGACAATCAAGCTGTCACTGGCTTGAATTCACTCAGACCATCACATTTTCAACCATTAAAACGAAGCAAAAGGCTGCAGATTAAGAAAATGTTTTCAAAACGACGGAAACCTCGGAAGACTGATTCTTCCGGGCGTGCAATCAAACAGCCATCATCCTCCAAGGGTCGCCCCTCCCCAAAGAAGTCATGTAAAAGAGGCCCATTCAATAAGACATGTGAAGTGTGTGGAAATACTTTCACTCGAGTCACAGCCATGAAAAGGCATCAGCTAACCCACACTGGAGATCTCAAGTTTAAGTGCCTCATGTGTGAAAAAAGCTTCAGGGATGGTCATAATCTGAAGAGACACCAGAGGCGAGTTTGTGAAAAGGAGCTAAAGATGTTTGATGATAAAAATGAAGAGATCCCACAACCCTCAACTAGCAAATCTCTGATCACATCACCCCTTAAGACTTCCTCTCCACCAGGGCCATCTCATCAAGGAACTCTGGACACTATCACAGCCACCAACACATGCTCTGTGTGTGGGAGGTTTTTTGCTCGTACTTCAAGCTTGGTAAGGCACATGAGCTCCCACTCAAAAGAGCGTCCATTTGGGTGTGTCAATTGTGGTAAGAAATTCAAGTATTCATACGATTTGAAAAAACACCAGAGAGAATTGTGTCAGAAAATGACCCAGGGAGATTTGTGTCAGGATGTTGGTCAGAACATGGCACAACAACAGAGTGGCCCACAACCGGACAAGGTTTTTCTTGCCACTGCAGAAAATCGAACCCAGGTAGATTCCAAAACCTGTTATGTCTGTGGTAAGATTTTGACTTGTACCTCACAGATGGAAAGGCACTTGAAATCTCACTCAAAAGCACGTCCCTATAATTGTGCTATTTGTGAGAGAAGCTTTAAGTACAAAGATACATTGAAGAAACATCAGGAAATCCTTGGTCACGAGGGCATCCTAGAAGACTTGGGTCAGAGTGTGGACCAGCAAGAAGTGGAAGTTAACACAGAGAGTTGCATCAGCCCTCTCACTACCAAGGAAAACGACACTGAGCCCCTTATCATGGCTGTTACTTCAGTGCCGACTCTCAAAGAACCCAAACCATGCACTGTGTGTGGGAAGATTTTTAACCGTGCTTCAGTTATGGCTATTCATATGAGGTCCCATTCAGATGAGCGTCCTTATCAATGTGGCAATTGTGAGCAGCGCTTTAAGTACGTGCACAATTTGAATCAACACCAGAGATATATCTGTAAGGTGAACCGAGAAGAGTCCTCTCAGATGGTAGACCAGCACCAAGAGGAGGAGTCTAGCGAACCACTGGCTGCTAAGGCTGATGCTCCAGAGACCTCTACCAGTCAACTCCAACTGGTTCACTGGTGTAAAAAATGTGGAAAGAGTTTCGATGACATCTGTAATTTGAAGCAACACCAAGAAAGTTTATGCCGAGAGGAAAAAATAAAGGTGGTCTTCAAATGTGAAAAAAGAAAGGTGGTCTTCAAATGTGATGATTGTGGGAAGGACTTCAAAGGTTCATCATCCCTAAGAACACACAAGCGAATTCACAACCCATTCTATTGCTCTGATTGTGGAAGGGTACTTCCAAACTCCATTGCCTTTGACAGACACAAGCTGATGCAGCACAAGGAAATCCAGTGTACCATGTGTGAGAAGACCTTTACCCTGTTGGGGCGTCTGAGAGATCACTATCTGCATCAACATAAATTCACAGGACCATACGCCTGCTCTCAATGTGAGAAAACCTTCACTCAGTTAAGATACCTTGTTGAACATGAGAGAGTTCACTCAGGTGAGTACCCTTACCAGTGCTCTGTTTGTCAAGCAAAGTTCAATAAAGCAAATTCTCTAACAATACACAGTAGGAAGCACACAGGAGAAAAGCCATTCCTGTGCTGGCAGTGTGGAAAGAGCTACAAGGATCGTGGAAACCTGTCAATGCATATGGGGACCCACTCAGAGGAGAGACCATTTTCTTGTTCGCAGTGTGACATGACTTATCGGACAAAGATTCAGCTGAATACACACATTGAACAAGTTCATGAGGGGGTGAGATATACCTGTGCAGTCTGTGGAAAGCAGTTTTTGAAAGCAGTGTCATTGATAAGACATGAACTTACTCACACAGGAGAAAGACCTTTTCCATGCTCCTATTGCACAAAAACCTTCATCACTGCCAATGAAAGAAGGCTGCATGAAAGATACCATACCGGTGAGAGACCATACAAATGCCAAGACTGTGGAAAGTCCTTCGTACAGTTATGTTTCCTGAAATCACACCAACGACTTCACACTGGAGAGAAGCCATTTGCATGCAGCATTTGTGACAAAAGTTTCAGATTAAATTACCATAGGCAAAGACATGAGCGAACCCATACAGGAAAACAGAAGCCACATGTGTGTGCGGAATGTGGGTTAGCTTTCGCTCAAAGAAAGCGCCTGACTGAACATCAATGCACTCACTCCTTGAATTAAAATTGAAGGTTTTTTTGGAACTCTGATGTCCCTTTGTATTGTTATTCATTTTAAGACAGTACAGCAGGGAAAGTAGTGAGGGAGACAGAATGTAGGGAGACAGACAGAAGGGCAGAGAAGGGGCTTGAACCCTTGTCCCCAGGCAGGTAAATGTGGACCGGAGTCAAAAGCATTACCACTCTGTTAGACTCTGGCATTTTAGTTATTGTTGTTTACTATATATAACAACTACTGGTTTAACACCTCTGGTTTTAATTAGTATTCTCTTTTTTCCAGCTTTTTTTCATCATTCAGTGGATAATTTCAATAGCTCATGTGTAGTATGTACAGTAAAGGTTGAAACATGTCAACTGTTATTCTCAAATAACCACTACATTGCATTTTCTGATAATAGCAATAATAAAGGAGAAAGACATGAAAATATCTGTCTGATTTAAAAACATGGGTGTATTCACATTTGTAACTTTTTGCACAGATACACTTCATACAAAAGTCAACCAATGCTTGCAGAAATATGTTTTATTAGGATCCTTCTGGTCAACATCACTGGTCCTCAAATATCCCTAGATCATTACCGGTTAAACTGGAACAAAATGTGAAGTTTGATTTTACTGAAAGGTAGGCTAATCCATGGAAAGGTCCTTTGCAGGAAGGGTATTTGGCATAAAAGCTATTGACATTTTTATCCAACAGCTTCATGATATTTAGGGTACTAGGAGGTAACTAGCCCTAAGAACAATGTCTAATTGCTGACACAAAAAAGCAACGTTTGGAGAGAAAAAAATTGGTATGTGGATGAAGGTCATGCTTAGGCAAAAAACTATAAAGGGAAATAAATGGCTACAGTTTACATGTTTTAGCAGATGCTCTTATCCAGAGCGACTTACAGTTAATGCATACATCAATTTTATTTTTATACTGGCCCCCCGTGGGAATCGAACCCACAACCCTGGCGTTGCAAACGCCATGCTCTACCAACTGAGCTACCTCCCTTCCGGCCATTCCCTCCCCTACCCTAGACGACGCTGGGCCAATTGTGTGCCGCCCCATTGGTCTCCCGGTTGCAGCCGGCTACGACAGAGCCTGGATTCTAACCAGGATCTCTAGTGGCACAGCTAGCACTGCGATGCAGTGCCTTAGACCACTGCGCCACTCGGGAGACGAGTTTACACTTTTTTAGTTATTTCATGAATTGTTGCTTTTAGAAAAGGGGTAACTGCCCCCCCCCCCCCCCCCCCCCCCCTCCTCATGGGGTAACTGGCCCACGGGGGTGCCAGTTACCCCGGTAGAAAATTATTGGATAGGGTTTCACACAAGTGCGTTAAAATCCATTTATTCAGTTCTATTTAGAAATTATTTAATAAGTAATACCATTTTAATGATTTAAATAAAATATGGGGGGGAAATGGTGTTGCACATGTCACCATTAATATCCGCACTATCAAATCAAACACGTGTATGTGACAAAAAATTTGATCTGATTTGATATCCGCACTTTGAGGAGATTTGATGTGAAGTTCCTCTTTTTAACTCGCCTGCACATACGTTTTCTTTGTTCTTTCTTTGTTGTTCCTTTTCCATACAATCCATTATGTACAATTGCACTAAATATGATTTTAATAATGCAAGATTTTAAATCCCAGCAGTCTTTAAAATGACATTCAGAAGCAAAAGGTTTTCAATAGCTGTTTATAATTCATTAAAAAAAACTATTAATTGGAATATAATATTGGAATGGAATATAAATAATATTAAATAACATTGGAATAGAACATTTAATAACAATAACTTAACTAATTAACTCAGTGTAACATTGATGTGGCAACTCTCTTATGCTCTGCTATTGCACGATTCTAATTTGTACATGGGTCACAAATAAAGCTATCCCCAGTCAAATTGGAGCACAACTCATGAGTCCACCTCCTTCACTGCTCACACCTAATCCAGTCCCCACCTGTGACTGAAAACAGGGGGAGAGATGCCAATTGAAAAGCTCTCTTAAAAACGTAGCTAGCTATCTATCTATATGACATAAAATGCTGTGTACAATAGCTAAAAGGCTATAAAGTTGCATTAACTGTAAAGCTATCAGTCACTAGTGGAAACATTTACAACTGCAATTAAGTTACGTAATCTTTTTTAAATGTATCTTACCTCTGTCGTAGTAAATATAAAATGTTATAACGTGAAGAGGGGGATTTGTCATGTGTCTGGTATTAACAGTGGGCTGTTGTGTTGGTTGTCGAACAAAGGACAGTAGAAGAGCAGCCATATCTTGTCACCAGATGGCCTAGTCAGGAGTGTAATAACAGGACAAACACCCACGCCCAAGGCCACAATCACCAGATCCTCCTCACCAGTTCCCTGGACACACACAAATATTTCATTTGCACGCACACTCATTCTCATGCCTCACGAGTTCTTTGACACACACAGACATTTCACTGTGGACGCACACTCAAACTCCACTTCCTTCTACTGGTCGGGTGCCAAGGGCAGAGGCCTCTGCCGTGCACCAATGGGGCATCTGCTCTGGACAGAGCAGACCCGCCTCCTACGCCTCGGGAACCAATCAAGGGACTAGAAGAAGGACCCCTTCCTTTATGTTACATTGTATAAGTAATGCTGTAAACTCAGTTTATTCATCCCTTCTCAACTGTCTCCATAAGAGGCAATTGAATGGGTCCATGCATGTAGCTTGAACAGTACCAGCTATCTCTGTTTTAATAAACTGCCTTTTGCTTAAGCAAATTCCTCTCTGTCTAGCGTCGATGGTTTTGTACTCCCTCTCCATATAATGTGTTCACCAACACCTCAAACGATCTGCTAGTGAAGTTGCTAGCTAGTAACTTAGCATAAACTAGCACTAATTGGGCTAGTCATTGTCTAAATGACAGGTAGAAACACATTCATAACCATAAAGGGGTCCACACAAAAGTTGTGATGACACAGAGGACATTTTTTGTTCAGCAAGAACAGTGGCAGCCAGTGAAAGAGTTGGGAAAATAATTATGTGAATTACAGGGGGGTGGGCAGGTACCCCTTAGTACCCTACGCACATGCCGGTGAGTTTTCTTAATTGTAATAATTATAAAAGGGTATGGCTAACCTATAGTAAGAATTATAGACAATAATTGAACTTGCTGGCAAAGATGTCTTTCTAACCATTTACAACTTTAATTTAAGTCACGGGGATTTTTATTCAGGAATTTGTGGGCGGTAAACGCAACCGGAAATTGAACGGACTACGTTCACTGTCACACTGCTACTGAAGATAAGGTTTAAAACTGTTGCAAGCCTTTTAATGTAGAAATCATAGTTATCACACTTAGCAACATTTCATGTTTCGTGCGTGAATATTGTATGAGGACCGGATGGACGAGAATCCTTACGAAAATGGTATAGTGGATTTTGTTAACTAGGCTTGGTGTGCTTGATGTTCAACATGGCGTATCCTTGCTGAATTTGCGTCTGTCGTTATTTTTAGAACGCTGGGAGCAGGAGGGCTACTACTTCAGAATCATCCACTGTTATGTTTTGTAAGGGATAGGCTATTTAGTAATAATAATTGATTGGATTTATGTAGCTAATTTCTACCAACTAAGGTACGCGCTTTACACTATAGCGGGACATACAGACCTAATTTGACAAGAATGCGTTGTTTTTAGCCAAACTAAAAAATCTGTCGATTTAAACATATTTGAAACTAATCAGGTGCACTTGGTTAGCTTGTGCATGCAGTTTGCACGTTTGGGGCATCACCATAGGTTTCATTGTCTGACAGGTGAAATCAGCCACCTTTTTATTAAATACTTTAAATATGTATTTGAAGCAGCTCAGACTCATGTTAAATTTTAACTTTGAATATCTGTTAAGTATTATTTCAATCAGGGTTGCGGATCATATCCATTTCTTTAGCTCTGCACTTCTTCTAAGGTAGATGCTGAGAGTGGGATCCTTGGGACGTCCCTAACCTTAACCTTAACCCTTACCTTATTATGTTTCAACTTCAATGGGGTGACGTCAGAGTTGGACGTCTCAAGGGTCCCCCTTATACTGAACAAAACTATAAACGCAACATGAAAGTGTTGGTCCCATGTTTCATGAACTGAAATAAATGATCCCAGAAATGTCCCATATGCACAAAAAGCTTATTTCTCTCAAATGTATATATTTGTTTACATCCCAGTTAGTGAGCATTTATTCTTTGCCAAGATAATCCATCCACCTGACAGGTGTGGCATTTCAAGAAGCTGATTAAACAGAATGATCATTACACAGGTTCACCTTGTGCTGGGGACAATAAAAGGCCACTCTAAAATGTTCAGTTTTGTCACAACACAATGCCACAGATGTCTCAAGTTTTGAGGGAGCGTGCAATTGACTTGCTGACTGCAAGAATGTCCACCAGAGCTGTTGCCAGAGAATTTAATGTTAATTTCTCTACCGTAAGTCGCCTCCAACGTCGTCTTAGAATTTGGCAGTACGTCCAACCAGCCTCACATCCGCAGACCACGTGTAACCACGAAAGTCCACAACCTCCACATCTGGCTAATTTACCTGCGGGATCATCTGAGACCAGCCCCCCGGACAGCTGATGAAACTGAGGAGTATTTCTGTCTGTAATAAAGCCCTTTTGTGGGGAAAAACGAATTCTGATTGGCTGCACCCCTGCCCAGTCATGCAAATCCATAGATTAGGACCTAATTTATTTCAATTGACTGATTAAAATCGTTGAAATTGTTGCATGTTGCGTTTATATTTTTGTTCAGAATAGCATTTAGGCCTACCCGTCTAACTATAGCTAGGTGCTATGAATGTGTGCGCTTTGTCAAACTTGTTTGCGCCTGGTCAAGGTGACTGTGTACAATGTAGTGGGATAACTTCTTAGCTTGCAAGACATCTGCGTAGCTCTGTTTACAAATTATTTTCTTATTTTTAGGTCCCCCTCTTCTTCTTCCCTCTCTACGTCTCTTCATTCCACCATTGCGGCTTGTCTCTGCAGCCATGTGGCAAGTGGTTCAGCGAGGAGATGTTCAAGATTATGGGATGCTGGAGGAGTTTGTCACCACGCTGACCGAGATTGTGCCAGAGCTTTTGAGTTGCAGTCAGAGGGCCCAACTCATCCTGGGGCTTCGAGCAAGGGTAAGAGATTGGGCTCAGAATGGGGAAAAAGAAACATGCAACAAGATCATGTGAGGTTAGTCTCTGACAACAATATTGTTGACTCTAGCCTAAAACAGCCAGCTGTTAAACATTGACTGAGTTGAAGACCCTGACACTGATTTTCTCAAATACTGACATTGGCCCTTAGCTAGGCTATCTATCTAAATGTGTCACAATGAGAACAGAGCAATGCCTACGAAGTGTGTGGTTGACCTTTGTACTACTGACTGGTCATCTGTAATTTTAGATGGTTCTGGAGCTGTGTCGCACTGAGCAGACAGCAGACCAAGACATTCAGCAACACCTGGACAGGATCCGAAACCTCATATCCACTGGGGAAGCAGAGGTGAGTATCTTTCAGGGAGGGAGCAAAGGCCTATGTCAGTCAAAGTATTGTGTCATTGAGTTGTAAAATTTGATTATTTAACTGTTGTGCATTTTTTGTTGCAGTCAAGTGATGCGGAGGTGGAATTATCTGAATCAAACTTTGTGGAGCTGGTTGAATCTCTGCTGAAAGACCCAAGTGAAAGGGAGAACTTTTACCAGGTTTGTCTTGCTCTTATACGGTGGGAAAGTATACACGTTTTGCTGGTCTAGGTTTTAGTGGTCTAGTTTTATATTGGTTCAAACCAATATAAATATAAGTATTATTATCATTTTAGGTTAATTTATTCTCTCCTAGGATGTGTACCCTGTGGAATTCGGGCCCAAGTATGACACTGCAATACAGATGCTGATGTTGGAATTCCTTTCCAGACTTGAGAAGTTACTTCCCATACCAGACCTTGAACAGGTAATAAGAAGGAATAACACCTTTATCTAATTAGCTTGGGGAATTAGCAGTCAAGAATACCAAGCAAGAATCAATAATATTTTTTACATTTAAACAAAGAAATTCAAGTGTGACATGAGTTTGTAGTTGTTAATGCTTTTAAACCATGTTCCTCTCTCTCAAGACCGCCACCTTGCTAAATGCTGTCCCCTCTGCCCTGGAGAAATGTGTACAGTTTGTACCTGACCCCATACAATTGAGGACCCTGCTCCAGTACCACAGAAAACGGGGACATTTGGACTCCATCCGTGAGTATTATACAGTGTTATAGATTGGTTGTGCCAAAATTGCAATTATAAATGGGGTAGTTTGGGTCCTGGATGCTGATCGGCTGAAACAGCATTTCAGCCATGTGTATATCAAACAATATACCACAGGTATGATATATAAATACTTGTTTACTGCTCTAATTACGTTGGTAACCAGTTTATATTAGCAATAAGGCACCTCTGTTTTTTTTGGGGTGTATGGCCAATATACCACTGCTAAGGGCTGTATCCAGGCACTCCGCATTGCATCATGCTTAAGAACAGCTTTAGCCCTGGTATATTGGCCAAATACCACACTCCCTCTGCCTTATTACTTGAATGATTTGTGTCAAGTAGAGCAGTTGTTACTTTTATCGGTAAAAGTTTATATTTGAGGCATTGACATAATTATCATATGCTGTTCAATTTAACCGTAATATTTTTAATTGTCTCCCTCTTTTGCATGAAAAGGAACTCCATCGTCCTTTGGTGACTGCATCCTCTCCTCTTTGTCTCTTCCTCCATACGTGCGAGTGGTGACTGCCCCAGATGTAGACTCAGATACACAGTCAGAAAGCATGAATTTGGAGGGAATGGAAGCAAGAGAGTTGTTGGAGAATCGGACAAAGGAAATTGATGGACTAGTCCCAGGAGATGAGGTTAGAAGATACGTAATTACTGAGCAGGAGTATGGTATGGACATGGAGACTGCCGTTGGGGAAATTGACAATCAAGCTGTCACTGGCTTGAATTCACTCAGACCATCACATTTTCAACCATTAAAACGAAGCAAAAGGCTGCAGATTAAGGAAATGTGTTCAAAAGGTCGAAAACCTCGAAAGACTGATTGCTTTGGGCGTGCAATCAAACAGCCATCATCCTCCAAGGTGCATTCTTCCCCAAAGAAGTCATGTAAAAGAGGCCCATTCAATAAGGCATATGAAGTGTGTGGAAAGACTTTCACTAGGGTCGCAGCCATGAAAAGGCATCAGCTAACCCACACTGGAGATCTCAAGTATAAGTGCCTCGAATGTGAAAAATACTTCTCGGATGGTCATAATCTGAAGAGACACCAGAGGCGAGTTTGTGAAAAGGAGCTCCAAATTTTGGATGACGAAGAGATCCCACAACCCTCAACTAGCAAATCTCTGATCACATCACCCCTCAAGACTTCCTCTCCACCAGGGCCATCTCATCAAGGAACTCTGGACACTATCACAGCCACCAACACATGCTCTGTGTGTGGGAGGTGTTTTACTCGTACTTCAAGCTTGGTAAGGCACATGAGCTCCCACTCAAAAGAGTGTACATTTGGGTGTGTCAATTGTGGTAAGAAATTCAAGTATTCATACGATTTGAAAAAACACCAGAGAGAATTGTGTCAGAGAATGACCCAGGGAGATTTGTGTCAGGATGTTGGTCAGAACATGGCACAACAACAGAGTGGCCCGCAACCGGACAAGGTTTTTCTTGCCACTGCAGAAAATCGAACCCAGGTAGATTCCAAAACCTGTTATGTCTGTGGTAAGATTTTGACTTGTACCTCACAGATGGAAAGGCACTTGAAATCTCACTCAAAGGCACGTCCCTTTCATTGTGCTATTTGTGAGAGAAGCTTTAAGTACAAAGACTCTTTGAAGAAACATCAGGAAATCCTTGGTCACAAGGGCATCCTAGAAGACTTGGGTCAGAGTGTGGACCCGCAACAAGTGGAAGTTAACACAGAGAGTTGCATCAGCCCTCTCACTACCAAGGAAAACAACACTGAGCCCCTTATCAAGGCTGTTACTCCAGCTCCAACTGCCAAAGAACACGCATGCACTGTGTGTGGGAAGATGTTGGACTGTGCTTCTCATTTAGCTACTCATATGAGATCCCATTCAGAGGAGCGTCCTTATCAATGTGTCGACTGTGAGCAGAGTTTTAAGTACAAGCAAGGTTTGAATCAACACCAGAGATATATCTGTAAGGTGAACCGAGAAGAGTCCTCTCAGATGGTAGACCAGCACCAAGAGGAGGAGTCTAGCGAACCACTGGCTGCTAAGGCTGATGCTCCAGAGACCTCTACCAGTCAACTCCAACTGGTTCACTGGTGTAAAAAATGTGGAAAGAGTTTCGATGACATCTGTAATTTGAAGCAACACCAAGAAAGTTTATGCCGAGAGGAAAAAATAAAGGTGGTCTTCAAATGTGAAAAAAGAAAGGTGGTCTTCAAATGTGATGATTGTGGGAAGGACTTCAAAGGTTCATCATCCCTAAGAACACACAAGCGAATTCACAATCCATGCTATTGCTCTGATTGTGGAAGGGTACTTCCAAACTCCATTGCCTTTGACAGACACAAGCTGATGCAGCACAAGGAAATCCAGTGTACCATGTGTGAGAAGACCTTTACCCTGTTGGGGCGTCTGAGAGAACACTATCTGCATCAACATAAATTTGCAGGACCATACGCCTGCTCTCAATGTGAGAAAACCTTCACTCAGTTATCGTACCTTGTCATCCATGAGAGGGTTCATTCAGGAGAGTACCTGTACCAGTGCTCTGTTTGTCAAGCAAAGTTTAATTCAGCAAATTCTCTAACAATACACAGTAGGAAGCACACAGGAGAAAAGCCGTTCCTGTGCTGGCAGTGTGGAAAGAGCTACCGAGCCGCTTCAGAACTATCGGTGCATATGGGGACCCACTCAGAGGAGAAACCATTTTCTTGTTCGCAGTGTGACATGACTTATCGGACAAAGATTCAGCTGAATACACATATTGAGCAAGTTCATGAGGGGGTGAGATTTACCTGTACAGTCTGTGGAAAGCAGTTTTACAAAGCAGTGTCATTGAAAAGACATGAACTTACTCACACAGGAGAAAGACCTTTTCCATGCTCCTATTGTGAAAAAACCTTCATCACTGCCAATGAAAGGAGGCTGCATGAAAGATACCATACTGGTGAGAGACCTTACAAATGCCAAGACTGTGGAAAGTCCTTTATCCAGTCAGGTTACCTGAAATCACACCAACGACTTCACACAGGAGAGAAGCCATTTTCATGCAGCGTTTGTGACAAACGTTTCAGATTTTCTCATCACATGAAAAGGCACCAGAAAACCCATACAGAAAAGCATGTGTGTGGGGAATGTGGGGAATCTTTCACCCAAAGTCGATGCCTCAAGGCTCACCAACTCACTCACTCCCTCAATGAAAATTGAATGATTGTTGTACATATGCATATCAGTTGTTGAATATTCTTTTGATTATTTTAATTGTTTGGATAGATTTAATAACTAGGTCCGTCTGATAGTTAAGTGGATATTTTGAATAGATCATCTATCTAAAATTATGTGTAGAGTCGGCTGCAAGTATTGATATCTAAGTCATTTGGAGAGAAAATCTAAAGACCCATGGACAACTAAATTATTTAACGGACAAATCCACCCAAAAACTATATATTTTTTCATTAGTCCCATTGTTAACATACAGTGCATTTGGAAAGTATTCAGACCCCTTGACTTTTGACATTTTGTTACGTTACAGCCTTATTCTAAAATGGATTAAATCAATCTAAACACAATACCCCATAATGACAAAGCAAAAACAGGTTTTTAGAAATATTTACATAAGTAGCAGCGATTACAGCCTTGAGTCTTCTTGGGTATGACGCTACAAGCTTGGCACACCTGTATTTGGGGAGTTTCTCTTCTCTGCAGATCCTCTCAAGCTCTGTCAGGTTGGATGGGGAGCATCGCTGCACAGCTATTTTCAGGTCTCTCCAGAGATGATCGATCGGGTTCAAGTCTGGGTTCTGGCTGGGCCACTCAAGGACATTCAGAGACTTGTCCCGAAGCCACTCCTGCATTGTCTTGTCTGTCTGCTTAGGGTTGTTGGCCTTTTGGAAGGTGAACTTCGCCCCAGTCTGAGGTCCTGAGTGCTCTGAAGCAGGTTTTCATCAAGGATCTCTCTGTACATTGCTCTGTTCATCTTTCTCTCGATCCTGACTAGTCTCCCAGTCCCTGCTGCTGAAAAACATCCCAACAGCATGATGCTGCCACCACCATGCTTCACTGTAGGGATGGTGCCAGGTTTCCTCCAGACGTGACGCTTGACATTCAGGCCAAAGAGTTCAATCTTGGTTTCATCAGACCAGAGAATCTTGTTTCCCATGGTCTGAGAGTCCTTTAGGTGCCTTCTGGCAAACTTCAAGCGGGCTGTCATGTGCCTTTTACTGAGGAGTGGCTTCCATCCAGCCTCTCTACCATAAAGGCCTGATTGGTGGAGTGCTGCGGAGATGGTTGTCCTTCTGGAAGGTTCTCCCATCTCCACAGAGGAACTCTGGAGCTCTGTCAGAGTGACCATCAGGTTCTTGGTCACCTCCCTAACCAAAGTCCTTCTCCCCCGATTGCTCAGTTTGGCCAGGCGGCCAGCTCTAGGAAGAGTCTTGGTGGTTCCAAGCTTCTTCCATTTAAGAATGATGGAGGCCACTGTGTTCTTGGAGACCTTTAATGCTGCAGAATTTTTTTTGTACCCTTCCCCAGATCTGTGCCTCGACACAATCCTGTCTCGGAGCTCTACGGACAATTCCTTCGACCTCATGGCTTGGTTTTTGCTCTGACATGCACTGTCAACTGTGGGACCTTATATAGACAGGTGTGTGCCTTTCCATACCATGTCCAATCAATTGAATTTATCACAGGTGGACTCGAATCAAGTTGTAGAAACATCTCAAAGATGATCAATGGAAACAGGATGCACCAGAGCTCAATTTCGAGTCTCATAGCAAAGGGTCTGAATACTTATGTAAATAAGGTATTTCTGTTTTGTATTTTTTATAAATTAGTAAAACTTTCTACAAACCTGTTTTCGCTTTGTCATTATTGGGTATTGTGTGTAGATTGATGAGGAACATTTAAAAGAAATACATTTTAGAATAAGGCTGTAACGTAACAAAATGTGGAAAAAGTCAAGGGGTCTGAATACTTTCCGAATGCATTGTAGCCCCAAAATGTTTTGGTTTTCAAGATATGTAATTTTGATCCCCATATAATGTACACTGCTCAAAAAAATAAAGGGAACACTTAAACAACACAATGTAACTCCAAGTCAATCACACTTCTGTGAAATCAAACTGTCCACTTAGGAAGCAACACTGATTGACAAGAAATGTCACATGCTGTTGTGCAAATGGAATAGACAACAGGTGGAAATTATAGGCAATTAGCAAGACACCCCCAATAAAGGACTGGTTTTGCAGGTGGTGACCACAGACCACTTCTCAGTTCCTATGCTTCCTGGCTGATGTTTTGGTCACTTTTGAATGCTGGCGGTGCTTTCACTCTAGTGGTAGCATGAGACGGAGTCTACAACCCACACAAGTGGCTCAGGTAGTGCAACTCATCCAGGATGGCACATCAATGCGAGCTGTGGCAAGAAGGTTTGCTGTGTCTGTCAGCGTAGTTTCAAGAGCATGGAGGCGCTACCAGGAGACAAGCCAGTACATCAGGAGACGTGGAGGAGGCCGTAGGAGGGCAACAACCCAGCAGCAGGACTGCTACAGTGAGGGAAAAAAGTATTTGATCCCCTGCTGATTTTGTATGTTTGCCCACTGACAAAGACATGATCAGTCTATAATTTTAATGGTAGGTTTATTTGAACAGTGAGAGACAGAATAACAACAAAATAATCCAGAAAAACGCATGTCAAAAATGTTATAAATTGATTGCATTTTAATGAGGGAAATAAGTATTTGACCCCTTTGCAAAACATGACTTAGTACTTGGTGGCAAAACCCTTGTTGGCAATCACAGAGATCAGACGTTTCTTGTAGTTGGCCACCAGGTTTGCACACATCTCAGGAGGGATTTTGTTCCACTCCTCTTTGCAGATCTTCTCCAAGTCATTAAGGTTTCAAGGCTGACGTTTGGCAACTCGAACCTTCAGCTCCCACCACAGATTTTCTATGGGATTAAGGCCTGGAGACTGGCTAGGCCACTCCAGGACCTTAATGTACTTCTTCTTGAGCCACTCCTTTGTTGCCTTGGCCATGTGTTTTGGGTCATTGTCATGCTGGAATACCCATCCACGGCCCATTTTCAATGCCCTGGCTGAGGGAAGGAGGTTCTCACCCAAGATTTGACAGTACATGGCCCTGTCCATTGCCCCTTTGATGCGGTGAAGTTGTCCTGTCCCCTTAGCAGAAAAACACCCCCAAAGCTTAATGTTTCCACCTTCATGTTTGACGGTGGGGATGGTGTTCTTGAGGTCATAGGCAGCATTCCTCCTCCTCCAAACACGGCGTGTTGAGTTGATGCCAAAGAGCTCGATTATGGTCTCATCTGACCACAACACTTTCACCCAGTTCTCCTCTGAATCATTCAGATGTTCATTGGCAAACTTCAGATGGCCCTGTATATGTGCTTTCTTGAGCAGGGGGACCTTGCAGGCGCTGCAGGATTTCAGTCCTTCACGGCGTAGTGTGTTACCAATTGTTTACTTGGTGACTATGGTCCTAGCTGCTTTGAGATCATTGACAAGATCCTCCAGTGTAGTTCTGGGCTGTAGTTCACCGTTCTCATGATCATTGCAACTCCATGAGGTGAGATCTTGCATGGAGCCCCAGGCCGAGGGAGATTGACAGTTCTTTTGTGTTTCTTCCATTTGCGAATAATCACACCAACTGTTGTCACCTTCTCACCAAGCTGCTTGGCGATGGTCTTGTAGCTCATTCCAGCCTTGTGTAGGTCTACAATATTGGCCCTGACATCCTTGGAGAGCTCTTTGGTCTTGGCCAGGGTGGAGAGTTTGGAATCTGATTGATTGATTGCTTCTGTGGACAGGTGTCTTTTATACAGGTAACAAACTGAGATTAGGAGCACTCCCTTTAAGAGTGTGCTCCTAATCTCAGCTCGTTACCTGTATAAAAGACACCTGGGAGCCAGAAATCTTTCTGATTGAGAGGGGGTCAAATACTTATTTGCCTCATTAAAATGCAAATCAATTTATAAATTTTTTTACATGCGTTTTTCTGGATGTTTTTGTTGTTATTCTGTCTCTCACTGTTCAAATAAATCTACCATTTAAAATTATAGACTGATAATTTCTTTGTCAGTCGGCAAACGTACAAAATCAGCAGGGGATCAAATACTTTTTTCCCTCACTGTACCTCCGCCTTTGTGCAAGGAGGAGCAGGAGGAGCACTGCCAGAGCCCTGCAAAATGACCTCCAGCAGGCCACAAATGTGCATGTGTCTGCTCAAACGGTCAGAAACAGACTCCATGAGGGTGGTATGAGGGCCCGACGTCCACAGGTGGGGGTTGTGCTTACAGCCCAACACCGTGCAGGACGTTTGGCATTTGCCAGAGAACACCAAGATTGGCAAATTCGCCACTGGCGCCCTGTGCTCTTCACAGATGAAAGCAGGTTCACACTGAGCACGTGACAGACGTGACAGAGTCTGCTGCCTGCAACATCCTCCAGCATGACCGGTTTGGCGAAAAAAGTATTTAATAAGATTATTTCATTCATTCAGATCTAGGAAGTGTTATTTTAGTGTTCCCTTTATGTTTTTGAGCAGTGTATTTTGCATCATATGATGCTGTGTTTTGATGCTGCGTTTTGCAAAATGCATCATAGGAGGATGATTTTTGTATTTTGAAAGTTACATATCTTGAAAACTTAATTGCTGACAAGCAAAACATTTTGGGATATATCATCAATGGACTAATGAAAAACATACCAAAATATCGTTTTTGGGTGACATTTTCCTTTAAACTACTCATATTATAGTAGGTATATCAGGTCCAATACTATTTGTTTTTCTGTGATTGCTGAACTTTTAATGGAGAATGCACTCATTATTTTTATGGTTACATTTATTTTATTTTTGTAACCTTTATTTTAATATTGTATTAAACGTGCTGTAGATTATTATTTTGTGTCATTTGAATTAAATTGACTTTTTTGGCAACAGCAGAGAGGTGTTTATTGCTTTATATTAGCATCTGTGAGATGATTCACTGATTACTAGAGACTATATAGCGTTTACCATGATCGTAACTTTTATTCTGAAGGCGAATATAAACCGGAACTAATGTTTTTTAAGCGACTTCCTGCAATATGAGAAAAATCTACTAGGGGGAAGAAGAAAAACACGTCCTGGTAAACAGATATTTCAGCCAAATGAATAAATGATTGCTTGGGTTAAGTTTAGGACATCCCTGTGATTGAACGTAATGGATTATTGGAATTTGACGGAGCCGGTGGTGAATACGGGTACGTTTATAGTTCTCGCAGGG